CCCCCCACCCCGCCGCAGCTCCGCCGTGGAAGCCAGCTCAGAGATGGTGCTCTTTGAGTCTGTGGCCGGCCGCTCTGCGATGGTGGGCGCCGCGCCGCGCGCACGCTGCTTAGTGCTTGACCTGATGTTTTTTTCACAAGGATGCCGCAGCCGACACTCATGCCCCAGCGCAGCCTTTGTTCGATACCTGGGGCGCTGCGCCGGCCCCTTCCGCCCGGCCCGCGCCAGCTCCCTGCCACGTTTGCCAACACAACGCACAAACAGCAAAGCCCCTCACCCTCAACCGACCCCCTTATGTCGCCCCGACTTTATCCAATTCTGGCTGCGCCTTGGCCGCGCAGATTGGCTTCCTGGTTGCGCTGTGCCTGGAGGGGGCCAGCACCCAGCCCACCTTCACCCCGCTGTCCCCCGCTGACCTCGCGGGCCTCGCCGCCGCCGCGCTCTTCACCGTCGTCGCCGCCGCCGGGGTCGCCGGCGCCGCCGCGCGGCCGTCGCCGGCGGGTGGCGGCGGGAGGGGGTGGTGGTGGCTGGGGGCGCGAATTCACGAGAGTGTGATGTCGTCGCTGACCGGGGTGCGGGGCTCGGGCTCCGGCGTCACGCAGCTGCGGGTGGATGAGGTGCGCCGCGCGCCGCGCGTCGGGGGCGGGGCTCGGCCACGCACATCCTTCGCGCTCGCCGGCGGGACGCGGCAGGCCAGCTTTTGCCGCCGGCTGTTGGGCGGCCAGTGCTGCCACCTAATCAGCGTCCCAGTCAGGGGCACCATTGATCCTCGGCGCCCCCGCGGCCTCGCATGTTCCCGCTGCTCTCATACTGACCGCCTCGCCCCCACGCCGTTGGTCAAAACACCTCGCAGGTGGTTGACTTTGTCGTTGACCGCTGCCTCACGCGCGCGGTGCACCCGGTGTTTGACCCGCTGCACGACGCGTACGACGCCGGGTCAACGGTGGTCAGCGTGATGGACACACTGCTGTCTGGCGAGGACCGCCCCGACCTGCCGCAGTGATCTTGACCGATCTTGACTGCAGCAATCTCGACCTCGATCTCAAATTGTCAGGCGGCCGCTGACGCAGCCGAGGCGCCTGCGAGCGCTGCGCGGCGCGGCGTTGCGCGAGCGCCTGCCGTCATCTTCCCACCGCGGGACCTGGTGGAGGTGGAGACCGGCCGCCCGCGGTTGACCGCGGTCAAACATTTCCCTGCTGTCCCCGAATAGCTCGGGTGTGCCCCCATCACGCTGTGCGGGCGTCCTCGAGGCCTTGTATTTATACCCTGACCCCAGAGCGCTGCGCAGCGACCCGGCCCCTGGGCTACACAGCCGGTCGCGCGCTGCTGGCCCAGCCACGGCGCGCAGCGCAGCGCCAAGCGGGTTCCACGTGCGGGGGCCTGAGACGGCCCATTTCAGCACGAGGCGGCCCCTGGTCCAGTCGGCACACGGCCCAATTTCTGTCTCGTCCAAGCGCATTGCGTCGAAGCTGCAAAACCGGTCGGGTTGCGAAACAAACCCGACCCACTCTGTTTTGCTAGAAGTGTTTTGCATCTGTCTCGCCGCAACGCAGCCACGCAGCATCCGCGTGCGCCCGGCCCGTCGCGGCCCGCGCGTGTTGCGGCGCGCACTGCTTTCGCCGCCTCGCGGCGGGCGTGTGTGTGTGCGCCTGCAACCCCTGATTCTTTCGAGAGCGCCACATTACGCGTTTCTTACTCTCCTGCGAGGTAGCGGCGACCGATGGCGCTGCCAGTGAGCAATGTGACACCACTCGCCGGTCTGCTGCTCGACCATGACATGCCTGCCTGAATGCTGCGCCCGGTTGACAACAGCACTAACACCTGGCTAAGCTGTGATCCCAGGCAACAGTAAATCACATGAACTTGTGGGCGTCACCGACAGCGGAAGGCTGCTGTGGGCACTATGAAACCTTAAGGATTCAGAAAAGCTTTGGAAGGAGCGGTGCGCAGGCAAAGTTTGACTGCGTTTGACTGCGTCAACTGAGTTGGGAACGCGCAAGGCAGGCCCGCACCCAATCTGCAGCTTGTGGGGACGACGCGGCGCGCCGGCGCGCTGTCCGGCCGTTACAGGCACGGCGCCAATGAGGGCGGCCCCGCCCGATGCGCTTCTGTGCGCCGGTCTGGCGCCATGCCGTTCCCTGACCCCCGTTCCCCCCCCCCCACACACACACACACAAAGCTTTCTTGCTGGCCTGCCACGGCCAGTGGCAAGCCGCTTGCATCGTCATTGATACTCGTCACGTGCGCCGCTCTGATACTGTTGTCAGCAGACCCTTTTTGGGGGGCCCTGAACGCGGGCGGCTCAAAAACATTGCGCGTCGCGCCAGTAGTTGCGTCACCCAGCAAGATGAAGATTGGTGTATGGGCCCTTGCGTATTTACATCGCTTTGAACACTCAACACACAACGTGCATGCCGCACAACTGCTGGCGGACCGCACAACTGATTGCTCAGCGCAAAACAGACGCGCCTGCCTGCGCCGAACGCCCGCCCCTCCGACCGGCGCGCCGTCCCGCCTACCGCTCCGCCCCAGCCCCCGCGCTGCCCGGCCCCGTCCCGCCCCCACCGGCCCCGCCAGCCAGGTTGCGCTCCACCGCTACCCCCGCCGCCGCCGCCGGCGCCACCGCCGCCGCCGCTGCGGCATGGTGCGCCCGCTTGGCGCGCGTGACGATCTGGATGACCTTGAACTTGTGCTGCCCCGAGCTCGTCCCCCCCAGCACCTCAACCCTCACCACGCACCGCGCCAGCCCACCGCCGCCATTGCCGTCCGCGCGCCAGACCCGCAGCGCGGCGGCGGCGGAGACTGAGATGTGTTTGTCGTGGTGCGCGTCCACCTCCCGGGGCTCGCAGCCGCAGCCCGACGTGCAGGACAGCCGCGCCCGCCCCATGTGCTCGTACGACGTCAGATATGCGACCACCACCTCGACCACCTCTTCGTCTTCCGGGCCGCCGCCGCCGCCCCCGGCAGGCCGCCGATTTTGCTGCTGGAGGGGTGGCCCGCCGCTGCCGCTGATGCCGGTGGCGGCATCAGAGGTCGCCCTCGGTTTCAGGGCGCCGGCGAGCGCCTCGGCCATCCCTAGGGCTCCGCCAAATGGCGATTCAAACATGAGCTTCCCACGCGGCTTGTGCGACGCGGCGGCCCCGCCGGCGCCGCGGCTCTTGACGCTGCCCTCCTGTGGCACTGCAGGAATGGCTGGCGTGCCGCTGCCGCTGCCGCTGCCGCTGCCGCTGCCGCTGCCGCTGCTGGCGTTGTGAGGCCCAAAGTCTGCGTCCACCTCGACTTCCATGAAGCTTCCCTCCCGAGTTGCCACCCTGCAAGGTTCCGATGAGATGAGTCTCAGCACAATATGTCTCAGGGAGGTTGTTGCGGGATGTGATGAGGCAGCCACTGTAATACGTGAAACTGATTTGAATTTGCTGCAACCAATTGCACGGGCTGTACTGCTGGAACGTTATTGCTCTCAAAGTATGCAAATTGAGATCCAGCCCCCAGATATTTTGCGGCCGGCTTCCGCTTGTATCTGCCGCACCAGCCCGGCTTCAGGCGCTTTGTGTTGCCATGGAGCTGGTGCAGGTGGAATTTGAACCCCTGGCTGGCCCCCACTTTCAGGGCCACGACCCGGGCCCGGTAATCGCCGTCCTGGCTCCTGCCCGGCAGGAAGTTATTCTGCGGTTCGAGGGTTTGACGGGCAGATGAGCGTTGCAGGCATGACGTGCTAGACCAGCAGCCCGGCTTGTCATGGTCTTGGAGCCGACAGACCACCCCGCCACGGCCGCATGGCTGCGCGCACAGCTGTGGCGGCCAGGACAGTACCCTCCTGCCCGCTTGCGCTTGGAGCAGGTCATGGCGGAATTAGGCGGAGCTGGCATTGAGGGGCGCTTAGCTCACTGCGGCGCTGGAAGAGCCGTAGCAGCGCATGGTGTAGACGTCCCACCCCGCCGGGTGCATCGGCGCCGCCGGCATCAGCCCGGCCGCGCCCCCAGGCAGCGGCGCGAGGCACGCCGGCCCGGGGCAGCCGTGGTGGGCAGCGCCGTGGTGGGGGGCGCCATAGATCGCCTGCTCTGCCTCGGACAGGTAGTGTACGAGGTAATCGGCGAAGAGGACGTCTCCGAGCTCCCCTGTGGGGTGCACAAAGTCCCTTGGAGACCGCAAAATTTGGGGCAGGGGGGGGCGAGGCGGGGGCGAGCCAAAGCGGGGGAGGAGGTTGCCAATGTGGTGGAGAGTGGGGTGGCCGCATCGCCTGGGATCATTCTATTTCATGATCAAGTGCAATGTCGATGGGGCGGCCGCCGCGGAGTTGAAGACAGTGGGAGCAACACAGGCAGGGTAGGGGCCAGAGTGCTGTGGAGCTTCGGCGTGTATGCCTTGGGCGCGAGGGCCGCGCCCGGCCCTGCCCAGGCGAGCCACGGCCGTCCTGCTCGAGTGGATCCCTCGCGCGCCTGCCCGGGACCGCCCCCCTTTACTGCGGTGCTGCGCAGCCATCAGCCCCCCCCCACCCACGCACACACGCTCACACACATGTACATACACACACTCTCACGAACAAACACACACCCACTACCTACCTGTGCAGCCTGGCCATGAGCTCGCACTCGCCATGCTCCAGGCCGAGGCGCCGCGCGTACTGGTCACGCAGCATCACCCAGACAGCAGACCTTTTGTTTCGTTGGGGGAGAGGGATCGGTGCGGAACAAGGCGGGGTGAGGGTGGGGGTTTGGGGTGGAGGTGAGGGCTTAAGGGGGGGTGCCGTGGGCTCAAGGAAAGGACAAACGCCTGATTTGGGGCAACAATCTCATAAGAAGGATGCAAAGTGTGCGATGGCACGGCTGGATCGCGGTTGACACGGCGCCATCACACTTGAGTCACGGTGGCACCGTTGTCAGGCCGCCACCTCAAGGCACCATTACAGGCTCAGGCCGGCGGAGCCCCACCCACTGAGTTGTAACGGCTACATAGAGCACACGATGAGACACATCTTTTAACACATAATGTCTGCTTTGATTACTCACTTGTGACTGATGGAGCCAAAGCCGTAGTATTCCGCGAGCGCATGGTGCGGCTCGTCACCCCTCCCCTCCCGCAGGTCTTCTGGAATTCTCGCCGTGAAGTTCTGGCAGCACTCCGGCACCCAGCTGTAGTAACAGTCCCACGGGGGTTTTGCAACGTAGGCGGTGTTGAAGAGGACCAACGCGGGGTGCCGCCGCGCGGCCGCGGCGCCCGCCGCGCCCAGCCTCGCGCCGGGCAGCCGCCGCTTCGGCTT